GGTTCTCAAATGCCACCATTAATAATATACTGATATTAATAATATACTTACCATTAACAATATACTAATATGCTGCCACCAAATAATAAACCGAAACTATATATGCAAAATATATTTTTTTAATGTTATTAACATGTTATTAACTTGGAGATGAAAATATTTCCCATATCTTTTGTTGTCGTTGTTAACAGCCATGCATCCGATCAAACTGCAAAAATTGAGTGCAAATACCTCTATCACTTGGTACATACAAACTAACCAAATTCGATGGATAACAAGAAAGTCAGGTTAAAAAGGATATTTAGAAACCCAAACTGTCAATTTCTTTGCTCGGTTTGAGAACAGAGACAACCTGACAACGGTCACAATCCAAGCCACAGAGGATGATCAGCTTCGGACACTGAGCATTTGTGATGTACATCGCATGTGGCGGCCGGAGAGTAAATCCGCACAAAGCTGCGGGCCCAGTCGGTGTTCCAGGACTCAGGGACTGTGCTGAACAACTTGTTGGAGATTTCACTGACATCTTCAATCTGTCATTGTCTCCGGCATCAGTCCCCAAGTATCTAAAATCAGCCATCATTGTGCCAGTGCTGAAGAAAATGAACATCACTTCTCTGGACAACTATTGACCAATGGCCCTCACTCCAATAGCGATAAAATGTTTAGAAAGATTCGTCCTCTTGCACTCCAAAGTGTGAGACTTAAAGACTCCATACCAGCCTCACTCGACCCATATCAGTTTGCATACAGAGCAAAACAGGTCCACAGAGGAAGCCATTACCCTGGCTCTTCACACTGCTCTGAATCACCTGGAGAGACAGAACACGTCATGGACTATAGCTCTGCATTCAACACTGTCATCCCCTGCAAACTGACCACAAAACTCCACCAGCTAGGCCTGAGCCCACTGCTCTGCAACTGGATACAAGATTTCCGGGCAGAGTGCCCACCGGCAGTGAGACTGGGCCCCTACACATCCTCCACTATCACTCTGAGCACAGGTACACCACAGGGGTGTGTGCTCAGTCCCATCCTGTACTCCCTCTTCACCCACGACTGTGTTCCTGCATCTGACACCAAATCACCATGGTAAAGTTTGCAGATGACACGACTTTAGCTGGCTGATCACAGACAATGACGAGTCAGCCTATAGAGCGGAGATACAGAACCTAGAGGACTGATGTTTGAGGAACAACCTGTCTCTGAATACTGGCAAGACCACGGAGCTCATCGTTGACTTGAGGAGATCTCAGAATCGGAATTATGCTCCGGTCTTCATCAGTGGAGAGAGGGTGGAGAGGGTTCCCAGCATCTGTTTTCTAGGGGTTCACATCACAGAGGACCTTACCTGGACCACTAACACCACTGCACAAGTAAAAAAGGCACAGCTGCAGTTGTATTTCCAGAGAACAATGCAAAACGCTGGACTGCCACAAGAACTGCTGGCAACATTTTACCGCTGCTCCATAGAGAGCATCATAACATACTGCATCTCAACGTGGTATCTCAGCTGCACTGCACCGGACAGCAGGCTGCTTCAGCGTGTTGTCTCCAGAGCACAAAGGATCGTCGGGACACATACAGAACATGGTGTCTCAGAAAGGCAACTAACATCTGCAAGGACTTCACACATCCTGGTCATCACCTCTTTGTACTGCTGCCATCTGGCAGGCGTCATAAAGCCATTTATGCTCGCACAACCAGATTTAAGAACAGTTTTTTTACAAAGCAGAACTTTATTACTTCTTGTTCTCTACTTGTTATCTGCTGTCTTAAAGAGCTGCTAACACTATTTCGTTGTTCTGTACCACTGGGTGCATACAATGACAAATTCATTCATTCATTCATAAACATCTGCACTAAGATCAAATTGGTGGTTCATGGAAATTCTGAAACTTTCAAGGTTCATCAGTTATTCAGTTCTTGAATTTGAATAAAATGTTAGAGTTTTAATCTGAATTGAACTTCATAAGTGTAATTTTTTACTAGAAAACAATGGTTTGTCATTAGTTTTGAATGATGGTTTGAAAAACCTTGTCTGATAGTTTAAAGAAGTTCATAAAGTTAAAAGGTTTTATAAGCTGTTTGAAATATAACCTAGAAATTTGTACTAGATTTTTTTTATTTTTTACTATTTTAAATATCTGAATATCTGACTCTTTAATTTACTTCCTGTGAGGAGTGGCTGAAGCAATTAAAATTCCACCTGATGTACTGAAAGGAAGTAAATTCTTAACTTTGGAATTTTGCCCAACCCTGTGTCACACTGCATGACTATTTTAAAGAATTGCAAAAACCAAACAAGTGACTGCAAATCGTCAAAACCTTTTCAAAATGCTTCATGTATTTTGACACCAAAAAATTCCTTGTCTACATTTATCACCTACCCACATGCTTTTAAATATATTTGATGACATGTAAAGTGTTATTATCTGCTGCCCGTGTTCTCTGCTGCAAACTAAGGGGGCCGATTTGGAGTTAATTCCATGGACTTTCCAGGGTAAAATGAACTCTTGGATTTTCCAGGGTCAACTATGCCTGCCCTTAAAGCAAACACTCCGCAGGGGGAGAGAAAGAAAGAGAAAATGAGACAAGAGGAGAAACTGTGCCAGCAACACACTGTGCCGCATGTGTTTTCTATTCAGCCCTCTGGCCTCTGTCACAGTTATTGTGATCCGCTGCCTAACGCTCCTCAAAAAAACAAAAAAAACCCAGTGAAGCAAAAAGGCGAGGGAAGAAAAAGGATCCAGCAATGTTTTTTCCTGGCTTGCTGGAAATGAGCTCAGAGCTGCCAGGAAGAGGTATGCAGGCCATTCCCTGGAGCTGAGGAATGACGTGGGAGCGACGCTACATGGGGGCGATACGGGGGAGAGCAAGAGGGGAGGGGCTTTGGCTTCCAGCGAGTCCTGGCCTCTACAGTTTAGACAGATCTGTGGTCCTCCCACAGATAGAGACTGGCTCGTCTGTCCCTCTCACCTCCAGCCCTGCAGGCCTCTCGCTCTTATCAGCTCTGTGCAAAACACACGGCTGCACACGGCAAGACTGTTCATGCCAACCTGCGGCTTACCAGTGATTCATCACAAATTACCACAGAAGATATAGGAAAATGTGCGTCAACGCTGTGCAATACGAGTGATCGTTCTAAAGCAGCGGTTCTTAATACTGTTCCTTGCGTCTCCCTGCTCTACACACGCTATGCATCTCTCTCTCTCTCTCTCATTCAGCTCAGCTCCAACAATGAACTGTTCCAATTATACACTTGTGGCGCTTTTCCACTGCATGGCACGGCACGGTACGGCTCGGTACGGTTCACTTTTTGGGGGTTTTCCACTGGGTACAGTACCTGGTACCTGGTACTTTTTTAGTACCACCTCGGTTGGGGTTCCAAGC